CCGGCTCCGCGCCCCTCCCTCGCGTCCGGCCGCCGCGCCGCAAGATGCGGGCCAATCAGCGGCCGGGGGCGGGGCCTCGGCCGTCACGCCCTCCCTCTGGGCTTATTGAGAGTTATATCAAGAAATTCAGTTCAGAGAGAGGAGAGGGAGGAGAGGAGACGGAGAGGGGCGCGGAGCGGCGAGGAGCGCCCGAGTCTCTCGAGCCCGAGAGCGCGAGCCGGTCAGGAGCCCTTCGGGCCGCCGGCGGTCACCCCGGAGAGCAGCCGGAGAAATCACCGTCACCCCAACTCCGACGTTTCCTGCAAGAAGTTAGAGACTTAAGCAGCACCTGACGCCGGAGGGAGATGATATGCTCGATGCTGTGGAAAATACCCCTGAGCTGAAGAAGTGCCACTGGATGTTGTGCGCGTTCGATACCAGAAGAGCCCAGACCCCGTGGGCAACTGAGACGAAATGTGCCGAGAATGACGACAAATCTGTGAATTTGTTCTCTGGAGTTGCTAATTTGCCAGCCCGAAGCAACACATTCCGCACGGAGGAACCGTTCTGCTGCTCCTGATTTCTCCCCAAACTGGTGCTCCCAGATGCATGGCTTTCTATGTGTTGGAACAAATCATCCCTAACTGCAGCATACCGGGAGAGGGGAAAGGTTGAGGCAACTAACGTAAGTGTAAAGTTTCGCATGCACGATTGTAAATTCTGTGTTTAGATATGCCCTCGGCGTAGACGAGGGGTGTTTGTAATTGGGTGGACGGGTTGGGGCAGAGCTCACCTGCTGGGCTGTATCTGCATCCCTACCTGCATCACTCTGCCGGAACTAATCACGGGCATCAGCTGCCGTGCAGCCTAATGCAGATAAGAGAGCAGCCTGGGAACTGACCAGTTCCACTCCTGGTGGGCAGCTGCCTGGAGCCTTGCCCCCGTTTCAGTTGCAGTTAGGGGAGCATCTGAGCGGAAGCCTTTTAACCTGCATCACTGGGTTGCAGTATTTATATGTGGCAGATGTTACTAATATTGTAACAGAGACCAGGGTTAAGAAACTGCATCCCCCCCCCCCCTTAGGCTCTGTCGAAAATATTGTGCTGTTACATGGAAATATTACTGCGTTTCACTTACATCTCGACACTCGCTCCCACCTCTAGGATGAGGAATCCTATATTATTATTTTGTAAAGTTTTTAATGTGTTTATTAATTCTGATGGAGTTAATTTGGCAATATGGAGAAACGAGAGCAAGGTCTGGATAAGACGTTTGAAGTCTTGGTGTTGTGCTTTTAGGCAATAAGGGTCTGTCGCGGCCGGTGACTATTGCTGCTGATGCTGCAGCAGCATGTCCGATGCTTGTTTCCCAGTAAGACTGTGTTAGAAGGCAGTTGAAGAACTGGGCGGCGGGGGGAGAGAAAATGATAGTCTTTTTAGAAAAAAAAGAGATGACTCAGTGTGGCAGAGAAGAAAACTCATCACAGTTGACATGTGACAAAGCAGGTAGCAGGAACCACAGCCAAATACTTAGTGTTTTTCACTTGCACCTAAAAAAACTAAGGGAGGTGGGTTAGAAACCAGGAGGCAGGTGAGCCAGGGGGAGGGGACGAGGGGAGCAAGAAGGCGAGAAGGCACGTTTTGAATTAAACAGCGTCCTGAAAAACAGCGTGGGTGAATACAGGTAAAAATAGCAGCTGTCCTGAATTCAAAAGTAGATGATTTTATTTTCTCTGGGCGAATGCAACAAGCAGAGGATGCTGAGTGTTTTTATCCACAGAGTTAACTTGCAAACAGTGGCAGAGCACACTGCCATGTTTACTAATATGCGGTGGAAAATGTGTTGCAATGTTTCGTGACTGTGTGTTTTTGTTTGCTGAAGAGTAATATTGTCTATACAATTGTGTTGGCAGTGGCTGTCTCCAAATAAGCGACGAGATGTAATGCATCCTCCAGTCCATGCACGCTCCCAGTTTGTGCATCGTTCCTCAGTGGAGACCTTTAAACGCTAAAATTCAGGAAAAGAAAATAAATACACTATCATGGACCTGAGGGATTTTTACCTGTTGGCTGCTCTGATTGCCTGTTTAAGGCTGGATTCCGCAATAGCTCAAGAACTTATTTACACCATTAGAGAGGAATTGCCTGAAAATGTGCCCATAGGAAACATACCAAAGGACCTGAACATTTCTCACATCAATGCTGCCACAGGGACCGGTGCCAGCCTTGTCTACAGACTGGTTTCTAAAGCTGGGGATGCCCCTTTGGTGAAAGTATCCAGCAGCACGGGGGAAATTTTCACAACCTCCAACAGAATAGACCGAGAAAAACTCTGCGCCGGGGCCCCTTACGCCGAGGAGAGCGAGTGTTTCTTTGAACTGGAGGTGGTGATCCTCCCCAATGATTTCTTCAGGCTGATCAAAATCAAGATCATCGTTAAGGATACCAATGACAACGCCCCCATGTTTCCGTCTCCCGTCATCAACATTTCCATTCCGGAAAACACTCTGATCAACAGCCGCTTTCCAATCCCATCGGCAACAGATCCCGACACGGGCTTCAACGGCGTCCAGCATTACGAGCTGCTCAACGGGCAGAGTGTCTTTGGACTGGACATCGTGGAAACTCCGGAGGGGGAGAAGTGGCCGCAGCTGATTGTCCAGCAGAACCTGGACCGCGAGCAGAAAGACACCTATGTGATGAAAATCAAAGTGGAAGACGGAGGCACCCCGCAGAAATCCAGCACGGCCATCCTGCAGGTGACGGTGAGCGACGTCAACGACAACAGGCCGGTGTTTCGGGAGGGCCAGGTGGAGGTCCACATCCCCGAGAACGCCCCGGTGGGCACCTCGGTGATTCAGCTCCACGCCACCGACGCCGACATCGGCAGCAACGCCGAGGTGCGCTACATCTTCGGCGCCCAGGTGGCCCCCGCTACCAAAAGGCTCTTCGCTTTAAACAACACCACCGGGCTGATTACCGTCCAGAGGTCCTTGGACCGCGAGGAGACGGCCATCCACAAGGTGACGGTGCTGGCCAGCGACGGCAGCTCCACGCCCGCCCGGGCCACGGTCACCATCAACGTCACCGACGTGAACGACAACCCGCCCAACATCGACCTCAGGTACATCATCAGCCCCATCAACGGCACCGTCTACTTGTCCGAGAAGGACCCGGTCAACACCAAGATCGCCCTCATCACCGTCTCCGACAAGGACACCGACGTGAACGGCAAGGTCATCTGCTTCCTGGAGCGCGAGGTCCCGTTCCACCTGAAGGCCGTCTACGACAACCAGTACCTGCTGGAGACGTCCTCCCCGCTCGACTACGAGGGCACCAAGGAGTTCAGCTTCAAGATCGTCGCCTCGGACGCGGGCAAGCCCAGCCTGAACCAGACGGCGCTGGTCCGGGTGCGGCTGGAGGACGAGAACGACAACCCGCCCGTCTTCAGCCAGCCGGTCATCGAGCTGTCGGTGCCGGAGAACAACCGCCGCGGCCTCTACCTGACGACGCTCAGCGCCACGGACGAGGACAGCGGCAAGAACGCGGACATCGCCTACCAGCTGGGCCCCAACGCCTCCTTCTTCGACCTGGACCGCAAGACGGGCGTCCTCACGGCCTCCCGCGTCTTCGACCGCGAGGAGCAGGAGCGCTTCATCTTCACGGTGACCGCGCGCGACAACGGGACGCCGCCGCTGCAGAGCCAGGCGGCCGTGATCGTCACCGTGCTGGACGAGAACGACAACAGCCCCAAGTTCACGCACAACCACTTCCAGTTCTTCGTGTCCGAGAACCTGCCCAAGCACAGCACCGTGGGCGTGATCACCGTCACGGACGCCGACGCGGGCGACAACAAGGCCGTCACGCTGTCCATCCTCAACGACCGCGACAACTTCGTGCTGGACCCGGCCTCGGGCGTCATCAAGTCCAACGTGTCCTTCGACCGCGAGCAGCAGAGCTCCTACACCTTCGACGTGCAGGCGGCGGACGCGGGGCGGCCCCCGCGCGCCGCCACGGCCAAGGTGACCATCAACGTGATGGACGTGAACGACAACAGCCCGGTGGTCATCTCGCCGCCGTCCAACACGTCCTTCCGCCTGGTGCCGCTGTCGGCCATCCCGGGCTCCGTGGTGGCCGAGGTGTTCGCCGTGGACGTGGACACCGGCATGAACGCCGAGCTCAAGTACGCGATCGTGAGCGGGAACGGGCGCGGGCTGTTCCGCATCGACCCGGTCACGGGCAACATCACGCTGGAGGAGAAGCCCGCGCCCGCCGACGTGGGGCTGCACCGCCTGGCCGTGAACATCAGCGACCTGGGCTACCCGCGCGCGCTGCACACGCTGGTGCTGGTCTTCCTCTACGTGAACGACACGGCGGGCAACGCCTCCTACATCCACGACCTGATCCGCCGCACGCTGGAGACGCCGCTGGACCGCAGCATCGGCGACGGCGCCGCGCCGCCCCGCCGCGACGACTACCTGACCATCGTGGTGGCCGTGGTGGCCGGCGCCATGGCCGTCGTGGTGGTCATCTTCGTCACCGTGCTGGTGCGCTGCCGCCACGCGTCCCGCTTCAAGGCCGCGCAGAGGACCAAGCAGGGCGCCGAGTGGATGTCGCCGAACCAGGAGAACAAGCAGAGCAAGAAAAAGAAGAGGAAGAAACGGAAGGCCCCCAAGAGCTCCCTCCTGAACTTTGTGACCATCGAGGAGGCCAAGGCCGACGACGCGGGGCGCGAGCCCATCAACGGGACCCTGCGGCTGCCGGCCGAGCTGGAGGAGCAGAGCCTGGCGGGCTTCGGCTGGGGCGCGGCGCCGCCCAGCACCTTCAAGCCCGGCAGCCCCGACCTGGCCAAGCACTACCAGGCCGCCGCGCCGCAGCCCGCCTTCCACCTCAAGCCCGACACGCCCGTGTCCGCCAAGAAGCACCACGCCATCCAGGAGCTGCCCCTGGACAACACCTTCGTCGGGGCGTGCGACACGCTCTCCAAGCGCTCGTCCACGAGCTCGGACCACTTCAGTGCCTCGGAGTGCAGCTCCCAGGGAGGCTTCAAGACCAAGGGCCCCCTGCACGCCAGACAGGTAACCGAGCCCTTCTACTGGTCCATAAGTACCGCGCCCCGGCGCCCCGCCGGCCAGCAGGGGCGCGCCGGCGCGCCCAGCCTCCTGGCCTAGCTTTTTAGTGTCCTTTTAAAGGGAAGGGGGGAGGGGAGGGGGGAGGGAAAACAAACAAAAAACAACAACAAACAAAACCAAAAATAAAAAGGGGAGAAAAACAAAAACAAAAAACTTGACCCCTTGTCTCCTCCTCTGGGACTCAGCCAGGAGTCTGTAGGACAGCTTTGAAACGCCTGGGTTCCGAGGATTGGGTAACTTCCCCGTTTTCCTTCCAATGGCGAAAGACGAAAAGGGGAAGTTATTCCAAAAGGTCCCGAGATCGTGTTGGCTGAACGGGAAAACCTGTCCCGGGAACGCCAAAGGCTGCTCCCGAGGTTTCCCAATTGACGGCTGCACGATTTTTCACATTGCCTTTGGATCCAAGAAGTCACCTTCAAACCTCGAGTTTTAAGTGACGTTTGAAGGTCTGACTGTGATTATGTTGGAGCTGTGGTGGTGGCTAAAGGGGTTAATTTTTTTTTTTTTTTTTTTACGTCTCTAAACAAGATAGTAGAATATTAAATGTACATCAGCTGTGAAGCACATGGTTGTTGGTAGATTGCAACTAAGCCATAGAGGAAGTCTTCTTTTTGATTTCAGATGATTTTATTGTAATATAGTAAATGGGGTGCTGAATAGATAGATTTGCAGATTGTCCACAGTGGCCAAAGTACTCTTGCAAAGGGGGGAAGAAAAAAAAAAGAAGGAATGCTGTGTCCCTGATCTAACTGATTTATACAGAAAAGAATGAATCCACTGTAAATATTCTCTCATCTTAGTAATGCATAAGTGATCTGTCATAACTCATTTTAAACTGTGAAATATGCCATATGAAGAGGGATTAAGAGGCTGAGAAACTCATATTTCAACCAAATCCAGAATTAGTTTTTCTTAGGTCTAATAATTCCTTGTTAATAAAGATTTAAATGCAGCGCTGTCTAATTTATTTCACTGGTGCTTGTCCGTTGCCACAGAATCTGAGTGTCAATAATAGCCTGTAGATGGCACTAGGGTATCATGTGCTTGCTCTGGCCAGGTGCCAATCCCGTAGTAGCAAGGAAAGGGGGGGGGGAGGGAAAGATCAAGCTGGTACTACAGCCAAAGATACCTTTTATTTAATGATAGTTGCTCTGGAGCAACTAGCATTTCAGTTCATTTGCTTGCCCTTTTGTGACTAGCTCTCACCACACCACCTTTCCAGCATTTCGCAATCCCAAGTTCGATCTTTGTTGGCATTGAGTCCATCTGTGGTGGTGGCCCATCTGAATTTGTTAAAAAATAAGGAACATATAGGTTTCAGAAAATCCGGTAAAGCAAAAGAGATGTGCAGGTAGTATTTGTTGACAGTCATTGACTAGTGATTGGAAATTCAAGAGGCTTCCCCGGCCCCCACCTTTTTGTGTGTGTGTGGGACTGGGATGGGGTGGAATGTCTTCTTGAAACTCCATTGCCTTCTCAGCTTCTAGTGTTTATTGCTCTGGAGTGGCTTTAAGATTTTGTGGTTATTTATAAAAATGATTTTGACAATGAATAACATTGATACTCCCAGATCATTAAATAAAATCTCCATTTCTTTTAAAAAAAAAAATACCTAGAGCAACTTAACAGTATACTTAGAGCTTGCATACGCAGAGTGCAAGGAGTTAAAGAGTCAGCATAGAAGTTCTAGAGGATAGTGTGAAATTATTAGATACAAGTTGAAGTTGGATGACTTATCTTCGTGTTAAATTTGTTGGCTTTTTAAAAGAAGCTGAAGTTTTAAAATTTAGAACGTTTCTGAGCTTACTAAAGGCTTATAAAAGTTGGTAAATAGTTAACCGTGGTAAGAAAAAGTAATTTATGAGACTGGATTTAAATACGGAATCGCTCTTTCAAATGAAAAGAAAGAATATGGCTTTTTTATTATTGGCTTTTAACGTGAAGGTCTCTCACAATATACTGATGATATCGTATGATTTGCATAATGTCATGAAAAAAAACTAACCCGATTTAAAGCTTTCGTATAAAACCAGGAACTGGTTTTCCAAAGAAACATACTGATTTTCTTTCCACATCGCCTTTCTTTTCATTTGAGCGTGGTAGTTATTAGCGGTAATGTACAGATCCACTTTTTCTGACGTTGCCCCAAAAGTTGAAACTATAGTACAGTGACATAAGCGTTAAGTGCACATTAGCAAAATATGGCAAGGATCTTTTGTTGAGGCTTAGTCAGTCATAACAATATGTGTTTGTATGATGTCATCTTTGAAATAGGACGCTGAGTAATCCTCTAACTGGAACTAAAGTGCAATTTAGGCATTCCTTGAGACCATGTGTCACTGTGCCATTCTCCTTGTAGGCATTTTGGTGTTCATGTGTAGCTATGATTTACTATTATGGTAAAGAGCTATTGTAATGGCTTTGCTTATGCCTTTTCAAAGTTTTCAAGCTGAGAAAGAAAAATTGTGTTGTTGGAGAAAAGGAATATTGGAAGTAGGGGAAGATGACGGTGAGAGCAACATGTACAATTTTAGTATGAAGCGGCATATTTTCTATGAATGAGAACATAAACTATATACTACTCCTTTAATTTTTTTCCCACTGAACTATATAATTATCTGAAGATGTTCTATTTAAACTAAAAAGTAAAAATCCTTTTTTTAACTCATTTACTTCAACTAGTGGCTTTTATACTAAAGGTGCTCCTGAAAGCTACACAATTTTGAAAAGTAAGATTTGTTACCACAAAAGTGTTCAAAGAAATTCACAAAGTAACATATGATCTCTGAAGATTTTTAGTTGAATTAGGCACAGATTGCTGTTAACAGGAACACCTTTTCACTTAATGGAGCTCATTGACACCTGGGTAAAATGCAAGATTCTTGAGTAAGGGTCACCAAACTGAAGTATCAATTTGTATCTTCTGTAGACATCATGAGTTTGATTGTAGTGCATTGATTGTTACTTTGTCTTTTTCCCCCTGCTATTTTCCCTTGTGTGAGCCTGCAAAGGTCCCGTGAAACAATCGTAAACCACATTCCTCATCCACTCTATTTACTAAGCTTTCCTTTTCCTTACGTACAGCCAATCTGTCACTGACTTGACTTTTCCACCGATTAATTTTTATGAAATTATGGAAGTACCCTTAGCATTCACAGATTGAGTGAAATTTCCTGTTTTCAAAGCAAGGTCGTGTCTTGATATTTATTCATATATAGGCAAAGTTCACTGTTATAGGGTTAAGAGAATGACAATATAATTAATTCCAGTAGGGCTTCAAATAACACACATTGGTGTATTTTCTCTAAAAGAAAAAGATACAGTATTCTTTTAATGGATATGATTTTAAAAATAAGATACTAAGTTCTCAAATTTTAGGCTTTCTCAGAATCACCTGAGGGTTTCTGAAATTGGGTTGTTGGGCCTCTCCCCCAGAGGTTCTGATTCGGTACCACTGGGGTCCAGCCTGAAAAGTGACATCACTGACAAACCCCTAGGTGATGCTGGTGCTGCTAGTCCAGGGATCACACTTTGAGAACCACAGCCTGGGCATATTGGAAGGAAAAATGTCAGCTCCTTTCCCTTTCAGATGATCNGGTGAGAACCACAGCCTGGGCATATTGGAAGGAAAAATGTCAGCTCCTTTCCCTTTCAGATGATCATTTCCAGAGGACCTGTTTTTCCACAGCCCAACTCTCAGTTCACTATTGACAGCCGTTTATTGTAGCTGGAGGCTTTACAGTAAGCTGTTTATTGCTGTTTCCCAACCCAGTTGACAGCTTTAGGGAATTAATTTTCTTGGCCCCAGTGTGCTTTTTGTGGGGGTATAGATGAAAATGTAAAAGAAAAAAAGAGTGACCTGTTTACGTTTGACAACTTCTTCCAGTCATGAAACAATCTGCTGTAGCTGCACTAGAGTTTGTTTCTGGGTAAACAGTCACGTTTCATTTTCTAAATGAAATGCTCATTTTAGAGCTTAAACATCCTTACTTTACTTTTCACAATCTAGGGTAAGCATTTGCTAGTATATACATTTGTGTGCATAGTGAAGAAATGATACATTGAAAACGTGTATGCATGCTGTACTCAAATGTATACATGTACTTTTGCAGTATAAAGGGAATTGCTTCTATCCCCAGTCATTTAGAGATACTATATTACATTCATGATTACTTTTCATTTTTGAGTAATCCCACCACAACCACTACTGAAATGCTGTTATGTCATGTAAAATGCACAAGACAGTCATAGAATTGCTACTTAGGAGTATGAGAAAGAAAAATGCAATTGAAACTGAGGGAGGAAAATGTTAACTAATGTGAGGCTAGCAAAAACTTTCAGATATTTGAAACTACTAAGTTTTGCAGTATAGTGTGATGGTTGAACATGGGTGGCATTTGGAGAAAAATTGCTCCCCAAAATGCAAATTATATTTACAATGTTACCAGTCGTGATTTTTCTTTTTACTCCTTCCTTTTGGCTAAGTGCTCTAGGATCATGAAATCTGTTTATGAGGGAGAGGATACCAGACCCCTTAGATAACGATTCAGGAACTTGAAACTCGGACGGGCCATTATTTCAAACCGGCTACCTTTCCCCTTGGGTTTCTGAGACAAATATCTGATGTTTCTTGCAGTTTGATACACCTAAGCTGTAAAATTTAAGGTACATTTTAGCATTTATTGCTAAGAACCTTCAGGAAAGTAAAATAAAAAGCTGCCACTGTATTAAGCATAACTATATCTACAGATTCCTGGACATTTATTAACTAGAGCAAATACGTTTCTGTAGTCAAAGTATTCTATTATCTTGTTTTCCAAATTTTGTTGCAATTAATCTATATATAGAAACACTGTAAATGGCTGTTCCCTGAGTTTCAGATGAGTCTTCCTTATGGTGTCACAGAACGGGCTTCGGCATCATTATAATGACCTTGTAAATATTGT